TGACGGACCCTAAAATTTTTCTAAAGGCGCCATTGGCGCCAATATATACTAACTTTGAAGGGGAGCGCGCGCCAAAAAAAACGCGTTTTTTTGTGAAAATTTTCCAAAAATTGACAAAAAAATTTTTTTGCCTGTTTTTTCAAAATTTTGCCCTAGGCGCAAAAATTTTGGCCAAAATAGGGACTTTTTACGGCTTTGGGAGAGCTCGGAAACTCAATTTGCTCGATTTAAAAAAAGTCGACAAAAATTCGAAAATTTTTTGTTGAAAATCCGCCTCCCCCCTCGAGAAAATCCTACATCCGCTCCTGAGAGAATGTATAATAAAACTGCAAGGAAATGCCTCCTGGAAGGAAATGACTATTTTTCGCGGGAGTTTATTTTGGTAATTTTCAGATCTTTTTTGATGCTTCACTTCAAAAACAAGGTAAGAATCTATTTACAAAATAAGAAAATGTGCCATGGCCTAATTGGTATCTTCAAATATTTCATCAACCCAGTTTAGAAGGGAAATTAATCCGCTTAACAAGAGATAAGACTTCGTGGTTTTGTAAATTCAACCTTGGTCTATTTTAATCAATTTTCAACTAGGAAAAAAACAAGAGATTCTGACAGTTCAGATCTATATAGATCACGGCAACAGCTTAGCCTCGTGTTGAGTATTTGGAAACTGAAAAAAATAGTGATTTTCTTATTTGTGAAAAAAAGTTATATTTTAAAATTCATTTGTATTAAAAGAAATTAATGTGATCCTGAAATGATGTTTCGAATCTTCTTTTGAATATAATGATTCAAATTTCATATGAACCTGAGTATAAATTTTTACATATATGCCGACAGGCTTTTGTTCATATTAGACTTTTGCTTTGATAATATTTTTTATTATCACAGGCATTAAGTGTTCCAGCCCCCTTTTCACCTGTCGATGATGATTATTGTCTGAAAACATTTTTTCATCACATTTTTAAGCCTTTGAGCTAAGATTTCAATACTTATTCTGCAATTTTTAGCAAATATTTCAACAGTTCTGGCTACTTTTTCACCTGTTTTTTCACGTCGATTCAAATCAAAGGAAATTTGGTGTATGACTCAAAATAAAAGCAATATTTGTCAAAAATGCATTTTGAGCCCAAAAAATAGTCCTTTAAAGTGGAAGCGCTGTAGGAATAAAGTTTGATTTAATGGAACTTTTAAGGTCACTGGGCAGTTTCCAAAAGAGCCGCATTTTCATTTGTGAGCTGATTACTTTTTCTAGAATTCAAATGTTTAGATATTTATTCACCCAAGAGGTAATTTGGAATTGCATTCAAGAAATATGTTTAAATGCCTCACACAAAAATAATATAAAATTTATGTTTAAATGCCTCAAACATAAATAAATTCACAAGTTGTGGTTATTCTTGGTACTAAAGTACGACACAAAGCATTTCAAAATGAATTGCGACTGTATCATTTTAGCATTTTACCAAGCCGGATGACAGAAAGAGTTTTTCATTAAATAAAAACTTCTATTTTGAGTTACTTTGAATGATTCATTCTAAATATCCCCCTATTTTTTTCAAATTTTTGTGACGATCAGATCAAAAACTGGAAAGTGTACCCTCAGAACTCTAAACATCAAAGAGTGTCTTCCAAATCACAAACTTCATTTAATTTGGGGAAGAAAAGGAAGAAAGAGAGGGTTTTCATTTAAATAAGGGTTCACAATATGTGGCCGAAGAGGGGGAGGGGGGTTTATATTTGTTTCTGGTGAGGTAGTGGTATAGTAGTGTTGAAGTTGGGTGCTGAGATTACCCCCTCTGTCGTCTGATGAAGGTGGGGAGAGAGAGAGAGAGAGAGAGTGTGTGTGTGTGTGTGTGTGTGTGTGTGTGTGTGTGGTGTGTGTGTTGGGGAACTGATAAAAGTGATTGACATCTGATCCCATTTCTTGTCCGATCAGTCCCAGGCTGATCCACAGAAGACAAGAGAAGAGAAGAGAAGAGAAGACAAGAGAAGAGAAGAGAAGAGAAACTGGGACTGAAGAACAGTCTGTTTCAACTGACACGTGGGACAACAAATACCGAGTCAATCAGCTACAAGTACTTTCAGTCCCAACATATCCCCCAACACCCACCCCCCGCACCCACAGCCCAGCTTAACACCCCCTTCCCTGTACCATTTAGATTCATGTACCCTTTCTAAAGTTTTTTGTGGAAGTAAGAGATAGTCAATAAAACGAATGAACCTGCTACAAAAATGGTAAAACATTTCAAACTGAAATCCGAGATCCGAGAATTTGACTTAAATCTGTAAAAACAAAGACTGTAAATATGTATAAATCTGTGTTATCAAAGACTAGAACAGTTGCTCATTTTTTGAAAAAAGGAAAATTGAAACACTTACTTATCCATAATTAAGTTAGAAATTATTTTTTAGAATAATATACCAGTTTTTTTTTAAAGAAGGAAATTAACGAACAATATTTGAAAGTTTTCTGTTCGATAAAAATTTGTTTTCTGAACCGTCTGTTAGTTACACGCATCAAATATGAAATTGACCTAAACTCATTTGATGGCCAGGAGAGGCAAGGGGGTGGGTTGGGGTGGGGATGGGGGGTTGTGTTTTTCTTAAATCAGAGCGACCGAATAGAGTGTATATTGTATGTAATAGAGATTAGGGAAACATGGTGTTATGACAACTGGAGTAGCTGAGTTGTCTAATTCGATTAACACCTCCTCTGTTGGTGTTTAGAGTGAATGTTGACAGAGGTAGAAAAGAAACAGAACTAGTTTATCAAGTGACAGCCGGGCTAATTTAACATTGCTTCTCTTTCAAATACAACCAAAAACCATAATGTATTTTTCCTTTTAAATAACAGTTTTTGAGCTCAGAACTGAAAAATAAACAGTTTTCGTACTAGTTTTTCACAGAAAAAGAATTTCAAAAAGATAGATAGTATGGAAATAATTTCTTGACAATCGTTTTTTAGGAAACGTTTTTTTAAAAAAAAAATAGTTTTTTTTTGTAAAGCTCGTATTTAACTTGAATTTAACTTGTTAAATATTATGCATCTACTCCCAAATACTCAATCAGATTATATCAAAAAAGAATAACGAATTTTCAAAACTCACAGCACTATAAACAGTTTTTTAACCCTGAATGCTTTTTTTTGAAGTCATGGAAAATTTCTTCACAATATCTAGTTAGCATGACTGACAAATTGTAGCTCTTAATACGTGCTATTAATCAGAGCCATAGTCGTGACTTTGAGGCGAACTTTTAGATCTCACAATGACATTGAAACTGTTCTGGGTAGTTAATATTGCACTTGAGCGCTTCAAATTCCAATAAATTGCTTAACACCACCTAGTCTATAAGCATAAACAGACAAGAAGACGGGTCTTAATAGTCTAGAAACCCTTTCTAATTCCTTCAGCTGTCAATTTGGTCATTTGATTTTCGCACAATCCACAAAATTGGGAAAAAATTTCACCCACTAGCCGATGTTGTAAAATACCGATGGAAAATCGATCCTCTTTAAAGAAGTTTAGTTTTTTTGATAGGGTAATTTACATTTTTGACTGTTGTGATTAACTATCATTTTTTTTGGCACTGCTAGACTTTTTTGTGTGCTGTGAGCAAAACTCAGCAAATTGAGCTCAGAAACGGTATTCAAAATTAAGTATTTCTAGATTCATAACAAAACATCCGCAAAGATGAGGTCTTCTCCATTGAAAGTTATCCAGCTCCTGTAATTAGTGGTAAATAGGCCACGAGGGTGAGTCAGTTTAGTTTTTCCTCAGGGTGCAAATGCAAATTCTCATTCCCACTGGTAAACAAGGGTTCACATTAACCCACACTTAGTTAGCAACACAGTTAGGTGTGGGCTCATAACAAAGTATCATACCACACTTGAATGAATTGAATCTACCAATTTTCAATCATATCTACATATTTTTTCAAAAAAATGGTTGAAAAAACTATTAGAAAAAATCATTTCATGCTGACAAGGCTGGTTAAGATAATCTTACTTGAATATTTCACGTTTCGTTGCGTGACCAAATGAGTCATTCGGGTTGAAAAACATGGTAAATGTAACTGTACATTATTGATAAGTTAACATTGATTTGGTAATACTAGCCATTCTTAAATACTTTTACTGTTGAATAAAACAATAGTGTCTTGTTGCAAAATTAATTATTTATTCAGAATCAGGTTAAAGACCTCCTAAGGTAAACCTGAATAATAGATGATGATGGTGATTTTATTAATCTCACCATTAGTGTTCATGAACTTTAGAAATTTAAAAAATATGCTCCAATGAGCCGCTAAGTCTTAAAAGTGAGGGTATTTAAAATGGGATTAAAAAACAACAATGGGTTTGTTGGTTAATTGACAGGTATTCCAGATTTTTTGTTGAGTTTAATCAAAACTATTTCTGTCACTTACTTAGTCGAGACATTATGTCCAAAGACATTTGCTCACCAAATACTGTTGTAATGGTATTTCATACAGACAATTTAAAATGGGTATAACCGACATGCAAAAAAATTCATCTCAATTCCAACATTGCTGAAGCTGTCGTTGGTTTTGACAAAATCAAGATGAAGGATTTGTTATTTTGAAAAAAGATAATGCACACACCTTTTCAAAATCAGTTTTTCATTTCCAAAAATTTGACAAATCAACTGCAGGCTTGAAACAACTGATTGTCTAATCATCAACAATCAGTTCTGACTTAAAAAGTACCAGGGACCTTGCAAGCATCAAACTTATCCTCAATTAATCTATGCATCGATTAAACATTAGTAGGATAAAATTAAAATATCATCGTTTGCAGCATAATATCCTAGAAAAAATGTGTCGCCGTCATTGGTTTTCTCTCAATTTTTAACAAAATAGCTTTATTAATTTCATCACTTTTGATTAATTCTACTCATTGTTTTGATGAAAAGGATGAGGTGACTCATCATTATTACATTGAAGACATAAATAATTCTAAAATAGGGAAAAGAGTGACAGACCTAGTCCGGTGTCTGGACTGCGGGTGAGTGTGGTCTCGTTGGGGGTCTGTGGCCTGTCCTCCCCGTAGATCCAGAACTCACTGTTGTCTCTGAAGTAACCCATCTGCTCCTTGTAATACACAGGGTACTTGTTGTACACCACCACATCTGGCACAGACGAGGAGGCGCCTGAAATAAATGACCAAAGTCAACGTCAATTGGACCGAGGGAGTTGGGGGAATGAGTTGGAGTGAAAACATCAATGGTGTGAATATTTTTTCTAACGCTAGTTAGTCTAATTATAATTGAATATTGGCAAAAGGGAGATAAATTGCAAAGTCAGACTTTTGCAAGAAATGCATATTATTATTTGTCGTCAGTAAAATTTCAAATTGAGCCTTTATGACCTTATATAAATTCATGACTTGAGTTTTATTGTGAGACGACAACTCGTATCAAGCGACAGTTAGTACTGATAGATTGAGTGGGGAACACTGATTCACGGGCAGTATTGTATTCCTCTCGTGCCTGATGGAAGCGCAGCGGAGCAAGCATATTCTACTTACCAATGTCTTGTCAGGAATTGTCACTTGTTATGAATTGTCGCTTGATACAAACTGCCGTGGGTTACAAGTTCTATATTATTTATAAAAACCTATAATCACGAACAAAATTTCCGAGAAGCTGAATTAGTATTTAATTAGTATTAAATTAATATCATTGATATAAATTCGGCCTGAACTTAGTATTTTTTTCGGCCTATGTTCCATAGGCTAGACGGCCAGTACCTTGGAGAGACGTTGATTCAACCCAGCTAATACTAACAAATATGTATATTATCATACATAGGCCTTTTTATCAAAAAATTTCTGAGGTCACATCATTTCCGGATTTTGTTTTTGAAAAAATCTTCAAAAATTTGAAAAAAAGCAACGAGATCAACTGATACGCGCACATTAAACCGGTAGACTTAACCTATAAAAATTCCTCAATTGTAAAGTTCGTTACAACAAAAGGACCACCTGTCAAACCCAATTGATTACCTCATGTCAAAAGTCAAGTCACTATGATAGACTGAAATTGATAAGTAGCACTTATAGTAATCTATGCAATGTCACTATTGGTATAGATTTTTGAAGCATTTGAGTATCATAGTGTTAACATTCGAAGAAGTAGAGTTTTATTTTCGGAAATTTGCACTTCACGATAATTTCCTAGAGCAATGCGGAGAAGAATACGTGCCAGTGATCTACATAAAACGATGATCCAAACTTTAGCTATCACAACAAATCTGCCAGACAAAAAATAGGCATATGTTTTTCAGTTTTTTCGCTGTACTTTAATCGATGAGATTCATTTTGCTTGGGCTCTTGATTTTTCGAAAACTTGTTTCGTAGTAGTTAGAGCAGTGTTGTAACATGCCCGAGGCCATCTTCAACTATGTTCTAACTGTTGAAGAGTATATTTCTTGCTCTTTCTGAAGGAAAAATACCGGAAAATTGTGAAAAAGCCCGGAAAATTGTGAAAAAGCCTGGAAAAATGCGCGAAACTATGCAAATGATTTCTTTTTTCATTCATGCGTTCTAATATTTCATTTTTCAATCATGCCTTGTCGTGAAAGAACATGTGTGAAAGAGCAAAAATATACTCTTCTATTTAAAAAGTATCGTAAAAATGTGCTCAAAAGCAGATAATACTCAAAATAGCCAATAAAATGGGAATTTACTAGTCGGTATTCGAATTTCGAAAGAAAATAATCTCTTGATCGAAAAAAAATAGCTGCTTAGTCGACCTTTAAAAATGTTCTAACCATAATTCTGCGACAGAGGTCTCGATGATAAAAAACACAGACAATATCAGCTCGGTAGTTGTTTTGATTCATTTAAGTTTCATTAGAATCGATATTTAAAGTCTTCTACCTCCAAAAAAAAAACATTGAAGATCCGGATTTTAGAATTTTTTTGTCTTTTTATCAATGATAATTTTGTGTGATACCCCTTAATTTGCTTAAGGAGATCAATTGGATTTTCGAAGCAACAAAAATCATTTCAATAAAAAAGAGTGCCGAAAAATGTATCAGAAAAAAAACAGATCTTTCATAATTTGAACCCAAAATTTCTACTTAAGGCAATCTGATATGGTTTTAAAAGCTTGTTAGGGTAGTTACAAAACTTCAAACAAGATGGCACACAAAAAAACTTGCGAAAACTGAAAAACCAAAACGCAAGCAGCTGAGAACAGATTTGCTTAAGCAATTTTTTTAAAACTTTTGCGTAAAAATACGGGTTTAAGGAATTGTCAGTTTTCACAATTTGCAAAATTATCATAAAATGTCACCAATTTTTACCAATTGGGGTCGGAAACCTATTCGAATTGAATTGAGGCTGGAATTTGTAACCTAACCTTGCGTTGAAAGATACAAAATTGTACCTTATACATTGGACAAGGTTAATGGATGATGATATTAAAATTATAATTTTGAAAAAACTCCTGGGGTTTTTCGAAGCTTTGCTTTGATACGAACAGTCTTGTTGATTTGAAATATAATAGCCGCAAAACTTTTGATTTTGTACTTGACATTGCCTGTGGGTAAAAGTTTTTTCAAAAAAGAAAAAACTCAAAATTTTTATATCATTTTTTGGAAATGTCATGTCAAAAACATCTTCAGATCCGCACAGTGGCCCTCGGATTATCATTCAGAATTTCGCTCTGATACGAGCAGTCTTGTTTTTTATATTTGCTCACACAAAATCCATATGCAAACATTGACTTACTTAGTACCATCTCCAGAAATGTGCCCATTAAAAGTAAAGAGGAGCAGGTATAAAAGCTGTAAACCGCACGGAATATGCAGGGAAAAAGTGGCTTATTTTTAAGGGCGGAACTAAAAGCCATCGCTTGACTTCAAAGTAAGTTGTCTAGTTCAAGTGTCACTTGCACTTAGCCCAATTGATTTCAAGTGGGTCGGGCAGGGACGAAACTTCTCAGAGTAACGGATGTTTACACATGTAAAAAATAGACCGCACACTAATGTAAATACAAAAATAATAAAAATACTGAATTTTTTTTCGAAAATTTTTTTCCGTCAAAAATACAAAATAAAATAACTTGAAAGTGAAGGAAGAATAACTGTCGGCTTTTGTATTGGAATGTTGAGAATATTCTTTGTTTTCTGGCAGAAAAAGATAGAAGTGGGTCGATTCAAAGATAGATTGGTATCTCGTGGGACAGACTGGCCCAAACGTTGCCTAATTGGGCGTTGAAATTAAATTAGGCGTGGACTAAAAGCGCCCCTAGATATTCTCCAGAATTTCAGAGAAAAGAACTGACTCGTAACTTTTGGCGATTTAAAAGAAAGGCAAAAATTATTCAGCATTCGAATAAAAAAGATCCGAGATAGCGAAATGAAAAAAGTTAATTCTGTTCAATAATGCTAATGGGAATGATCGGTAAGAATAGTTAATAATCACAACACAAAATAATAACAAAAAATCAAAAAGTTTCTGTTTAAATGTTGAACTAAATAACTATTTTGGAATCCAGTTTTGAAGTTGGTTGTTTTGGAGGCGGTTGTTTTGTTTTATTTGCTGTTTTGAATCCAGCTTAAAGAGTAAAAGGGCGGGTTATTATTGGTTAAAATCGGGTTAACTTTTGGTTAAATTGAACAAGTACAAAGTGGCACTAAGTAACTGATATATCGCCTCTCTCTTTTGTAAAATGTTCCTAGTCCATTTAATCCTCCGTGCCGAGGAATTCTCTAAATTGCTCAGCTTCTAATTCCTCCCCTTGTCTTACAATATTCCGCCGGCCGCCTCATTACCGCTGCGCTGAATCCCCCTTTCCAAAATAAAGAATTCCAACCAATCACATTCAAACTACTTTTCATACATACGTACGCTTTCAATTATTTTTTTTAACAAAAAAGCCGAAAAATGTTTTTTTTTTTAATTTACTTCTGCTGTTGTTGTTGTTTTTTTTCTCTGAATGATTGACAATAATTCAGTCAGCTCGTTTGAGTATTTGTCAATAATACTTTTCAACTTGTAAGTTGCGTTTTTGTAAGTCGGTAACAAGTTTGGTATTTGAGAAAAAAACCGTTCAACTTGACTGACTGTTTTTTTGTCAACTTTTATGCTGATGTGAGTGAACAGCCTAACAATTAAACATGAAATATATGTTAAGCGAACGTTTTTCTTAGAGCTATCTTGAAAATGGAGTGCAAGCACGTCACTTTGAGAGCTTCACAGAGCTTTTAATCATTATTTCAAGAGAAAAAAAAACACTTAAAAAACAAAAAGATGAAATAATTTTTTGAAACAATTAAAGATCAGATTGTAGTTTTTCGGCGCCATCTTTAAATAGAACTCAAAAACACAGTTTTAGGACAAAGTTGACCCTCAAATCATCAGAACATAAACTATATGAGAAAAAAAAACTTTATCTAATTATAACCAGCTTTCTATGAATAATTGTATTGTATCGTTAGGGTAAGTAAAGCAAAACAAAATTCAAATAAAAGTTTGTTTTTCTTTATGTGGATTGAGTTAGATGATAAACTTCAGAACTCGAATGAATCAAAATTAAAATTGCGTTAGAAAATTTAAGCCTCTCGTCCAGTTCTCCCAGCAAATTAGTTTTAAAAACGCGAAAAAAGATGCAATTTTTCAAATTCAAATTACGACAGATAGAGTTTTGATATGATATTGTGCGTGACCAGCAGCTGTTTACCTCGAGGTATCAAAAATGGCTGAAAAAGAAAAGTAAGAAAATTTCTATTTGAGATTTTCTAAAATTTCGGCTGTGATGAGTAAAGCACAAAACATATTGTTTGGAAAAACTTGATTGGCGAAAATTAAGTTGGGTATTGAGCCTTGCTAATTATAGTTTTTTATTTGATAGATTCTCAATATTTTTTTTATTAGTTTGTATTTTCAAAAATTTTTAAGATTTGCAAGAATTAGAATAAACTGATTTTTGAGTTGTTGTTTTTTTTCTCGAAACAATGTGTTTATATTAATTAAATCTTAAATTACTTCATTTCTTAATTTAAAAATGTTTTGAGAAGGGGAAAAAACCAAAAAAAACAAGACAACCAAATGCAATGCATTTTGCATTGAACTTGTTTGTCAGAATAAATCCAAAAAATTATTGTTTTTTGCAAGATATATTTAACAAAACTCATTACACAAATACAAACAGCTTTCGGACAAAAAAATGTCTCCTGATCCTGATAAACTATTCAAGTTTCACAAAACTGTTGTTTACTGCAAACTATTTAGAGTTGCTAAAAAATTTCTAATGTGGAACCTCACAAAAATTATACTGGAAATTCAGAATGCTTTTGTAGTTTCAATAAAAACATGAAACTAAGGTAAATTTTAGAAACGTTTTGATTAATTATTAAAAAACTTCAATTTTATGATATGGCATTCTATCATGTTTTAGAAATTAAAATATACTCAAATCACTTGAATCAAAACTTTTGAAATAAGAACGAAATAAAACAAGCAATTTTCTCGTCCTGATATTTATTGATACTATAAGTTTTTGTACAG